GCTAGTTTTTAGTAAACTAAACTTCAAACTTTATAGTACTTTTTTAGTTTATTATATAATTTTTCTCATTTTTAGCACGAAACGCATAATATATTTGATGTTTATCAAAGAAACCAAACTACTCAATTTAGTATAATGTTTAACATAATATTTCAGAAATTGTAATATAATATTTCCTATATTATATTATTATCTATAATATCTATTCGTATATAATATTATAATCTATATTATCTATAATATTAATATTATAAAATGTAATATAATATTTCAGAATTTTGACAAGAGATACGAACGTGTAACTTAATTTTCTTCCTGTCTTTATTTTCTATCTTTTTTTTTTTATTTATTTGATCCTTATAGCACATGAAAGTTTTTACCAGTCACAAAAAAGATTTTTTATGATTTCTTAATATTTCCAAGATTCGCGTTTTTTTAGGATTTTTAGTTGTATAATTACTATCGAACTGCATAAAAATGATACGTATTTTCTTTTGAATTTCGCGTGAAATTGCAAAATGTTTATTAGAATCAGTAAATAAAAAAATTAATGTATATATATATATATATATATATATATATATATATATATATATATATATGTATATATATATATATATATATATATATATATATATATATATATATAAATATATAGTATATATATATATATATATATATATATATATATATATATATATATATATACGATATATATATATATATATATATATATATATATATATATATATATATATATATTGCGCATATATCGGTCAAAGTCCTTCTCGAAAGGAGAAGGCAATAAATAGTAGAGAAATGAATAACAGTGTTTTTAACTGCAACTATAGTTACAACTTTAATTGTAAGTATTATTGAATTACATGAAAAAGATAGATATTAGAATTTCTAAATGATCCTATTTATTCTAACGATTAAAGGAAGAAAGAAACAAAATGAATGAACATCGATACTCACTTAAATTCGTTGATCCATTTCAGCATTTCTACATCTTCCTTAGTACAGAAATGCATGTAGTCACCACCCGCGTGCCATGGATAGAACGAGTGATAACGAATCATAGCCAAAGCCTCCTTAGGTAGTTTGGTATCGTTGTGCACCAGGACGCGATACAAATATTCGTCGTGGCCCCAGGACATCAGCAAATTATTAATGCCGCACTTTGGTTTGTAAATGCCATATTTTGTGCTGCAAAAATCCATTTTGTCACGATTTTATTTCCATATTGTTTTGTGAAAGTTTAGTATGTTCACTTACTTGTAACGAACGTCTTTACCATCTGGATTGTCCTCGAAGCTAGTTGCCCTGTACACGATAGAATCAGCCCAAGCACATCCGACAGGAAACGTGTCACCCACAACTGCCCATTGCGGTTCACCATAAAACGCCATTACCTACATTATTATTTACAATAATAACATTAATTACAACAATAGTGATATTTAGTGTTTAAAGATACAAAACACACGGAATACGTATAATACAGAGAAGTATATAGAACACAAGAGCTGTTATAACATTTGTCGCATGAAACGAATCTTTATTATAAAAGCATCTGCTATGCTTTCTCGCTCATTTCTGATTTATTGATATTTTCTTTCAACAGATATTTTCTGCTTGAAGAAAATACACACAAAAGAAGCCTTATCGGCATATATGATTTTTCGCTTAAATTTTACGTTCGAAAGGCAGATTTTTATAGATTAGATACATTCTTTAAAAGATTTTTCAAACTTTCTTTTCTTTCTTTACTAAAGTAAAAGCAGTCGTTCTGGAAAATATGAATTTGCGTGAAAATCCGCGATTTAAAAATACGATTTATTTTATTTAAAAAAAGTATCGAATAACTGATTCGTCCCCATCCTTTCTCATTCTTGAGAAGCTCTGACAATGAGATACATCACCTTGCCCAAGTCGTGAATCAATCCGGTCAAGTGGAACCAATCCAAGTCAGGATGCTCTTTTCTGATGGATTCTGCGGTTTGGAAAGCGTGCACGATATTTGGCAAACTTGTGTCCGGATCACTCTCGTCCACTAAGTTGTTCAATTTGATCAAAGCATCTTTTACGGTCATCTTGAATTTGTCGAAGCGAAGCCATTCTTTCATGCGAGCTGAAACGTAAGAATCGCATCCTTTCTTTTCCCGCACGTTCTTCTACTTTGTGATAATCAATTTTTCACATCTCTATTTACTACTTGCGTTTTTTTTTTCTCTCTCTAAATGGTTGTTATCTTGGGATGGCGTATTTCGCGATTTCATAGTAAATTTTTAATTCCAAGATAATATCTATCTATTATAGATATAATATTTATATATAATAGATATAATATCTAATTCCAAGATAATATCTATCTATTATAAATATAATATCTATAATATCCATCTAGAGAGATAAATATTTCTTTGACTTTGATTCCTGGTAAATTTTATTGATAATATGTTGTTAGAGTACAATTTAATTTGTACAGTTTTCCCTCGTGTGATATTTTTTAAAGCAATACTTATCCCCCCTTATCACAAATTATGCAATATAAAATTAAATAATAATTAATTATTTAGTAAAATTGTCGAAACGTAAGAAATAGACGTGCAAACTCACATTGTACAAACTCGACAGTTTGATTCGTGTGCATCTTGTGATAGGTGTTCCGGACGCGTTCCTTTACCGGATCGGTTGGATCTACGGAGTAATCCCTGAACTCGCTCTTCAGCTTTCCCGCGTAAATCGGCTCTGGCCGATACTTATCCGACGGATCCAAGATGGTTTGTTTCTGAGATTGTGCCTATATCGTTACATACATCAATTACGCTTAATACCTCTTGTTTTTCCTTCGCTTCTGCCTCTCGTCTCGCGAGAGATCTTGAAAATATTTGGTAAACACCGCGGTCGTTGTCCGCGTTTCGATCGATGTCAAAGGGTTCCTTTGAAAGGAGAGTTCATAATTCAGATCCAGAGCGAAAGACGTTCAGACAGACGTTCATCTCCGAATTTCGTGAAAGCTGACTGTGATTTGTCTCGATCGACATCAATACTCCTTTCGTACTTATTATGAATCGATCGATTTCGTTTTTTTTTTTTTTTTTTTTTTTTTTTGAGAGAGAGAGAAAGTTTATACATCATACTATGTTGACAATTATACACTGTGTACCAACAATCGGAAGATCTTATAACCTTAAAAACAACGCGGAAGTGAAAGGAAACAGCTCGGGAAACGCGAGACAGCAAGTTGCGTTTGTCTAATGTCGTGACGATTAAAGATCAAGATGGTCGATCATCAAGCCAAATTCGATCGAAGAAGCTAATGATCATCGCTACTACATCGATTCATCGTCTCTTGTTAATACTTACGAGCGTTTGCGCCGACATCTGTCTATACTGGTTTATTCCAACTGGTATTGAGTATGCAACAGTGACTGACTAGTCTCATGCGACCGAGTTAACTTATAAATCTGAGGCAATTCACCCTTGACCTCTGCTTGATCAAAGTGTGGTCACGTGTGTAATGTTCCATACACGTTATCGCAATCCAATACATTCACACACGTTTCTAAACAGCGTACACACGAGATAAAAAAAATACCGTGGAATTAAACAATTTAGCAGTAGTGTAGACCTCGGAGGCCGACCAATCTCTCCCCGTTTTGATCTCTCCCCGACCGAATCGATCTAGCGCTTCCTCTTTTCTCACAGAGGACCAATCGATCAATTTCTCTCT